TACAATATGGTCCATGGATTCGCCCTCTCTTCTTCTTCGTCTTCTTCGGGAGATGATGAACGCGATACTTATTATATTCTATTCTAGGATTCCTTGCCAGACGAGTGACGCGTACAAGCCAAAACAGATTTCGATGTGTATGCGATACTACTGATAGAATACGGTAATAATAAAAAACGTACAAACCTCAACCATGGATACCCTAGACAAAGTTTCCTTCTGTTACTTTTCGAGCAAATCGAATTCCCAGCTCAAGGTCAGAATACAAAACAGGTTAATTATAAGAACGCCGATCACGCTCGAAAGAGGGTTACAAAGGGGGGGGGAGGGAACGGGAATGTCGACAGGGGGCAAATGTGTAAGCACTTGCGAGGAGGGCGTGGAGGATTCCAAGCGTTGACCAGCTGGATACACCATGCACAAAAACTTTGCATAGATACACTTTGGAAAAAATTGTAAACATCCAAAATTTAGTCGCTTTACGATACAAAAAGAGGTTTTAGAAAAATCGCTGTTCACAGCGACTTAGGGCGTCGAGAGTGTGAATCACAATGTGTTTCATAAGATTGGCTATGAGTAACCATGTTGTAAAAGACGATTTTTGTGAAAAAGCGCGCGATTAAGTTCTCTCTTAAACATATGAATGGTGTCGAACTTCGCCATCTTACTTGGCAGCGAGATCAATGGTCGGACTACTTGTTAGCTGAATGAACATTTTCGGCGCTCGGGTCTAGTAAGTTCGCCTTTGGCTTTGTGAGGGTGACAGCGTGGTTGATTTGTACAGACAAACTTCAAAAGGTTCTCCTGTCTCAGCGAGCAACCACGTCCATAGATAATTTGGAATGCCCTGAACAGGTTACAGCTTAATTGCCTTTAAGATAGAGGAAATAAATCAAACACATCCAGCCTATGCCGATACGACTGATAATTAGGACCGTCGACCATCTTCGTTGCTCTGCGTTACACCAGTTCGACCAAGTCAATATCTTTCCTCATTCATGGTGTGACCGCTGCATTCCATATTCCAGATTTGGTCCCACGAAAATGCCGAAATTTTTCAGAGAATTCAGGCGGCAATATTCTAAACGAACTTCTAGTCTAGAGCAACGTATTAGTTGCCTTATGGTGTCCCTAAGTTTGTCGTCTTCTACGTACCTAAATCTTTGAGGTTTTCTACACCTTTCGTTTTAATACGGCTAATATATTACTGATGTTCTGTGGTGGAAGTTTGTGGCAGACGTTCAGGTATAGGTCCACGGATTTGGATACATTGAATTGCAAAAACCACTTGTTTGACAAAGCATTAACTTTGTTGCTGTTCGATTGCAACTTCTTTACATAATCAACACAGTCGACACGACTCCGAATTTATATGTTTGCTTTGCATGTCTACGATTCAGTCTAGTGTAAGATGGTATCCATAATCGTGACATCAGCGATCAAATACAATAAAACATAGATAAATGCATGCATATTTGGCTGCTTAGCTGGAATGCCGTGATTAAATTTGCATTA